GCACCAGATGAGTCCTGCCATTTTTAGATGCTTGGCTTGGAGGAGCTCCAGCCACCAACTCAACGGAGCTGACATATGGCGATGCAGTGTCTGCTTTATGGTCAACCAACGTGGTGACCCTGTTTTCTTTCCCTCGCAGAGTTTTAGCTGTGGTGATGAAGGGAGTGTGGAAGTGACAGATCTGCATTTTACCTTGGAAACGACATAACGGGTCAAAAATACCCATTCTGGCTGTGTGATTTCAGGTTGTATTACATACCATTTGTTGCTAACTTTGTCACAACTGCCTGGTGTTTTTTTTTTTTTTTACAAGTGTCGCAGGTTTGTGCCAGGACTGCCTACAAAAGCAAGCGGTTGGTTTTTCTTCTTGGCAGGAGGCTGAAGTGATGCAGGAAACTTGACGGCCAAACAGCAGTGTTGTTTGCAGTGCGAGAGTGATGTTTCTAAAGGGTGCCTGTGGGTGTTCTCCAGCAGGTCTTCAGCAGGTAGTCCCTTCTGCAGTCACGGTTGGGTGCTGGTGAGCAAGTGGCATGACGACAGGCGGACACATCCCTCGTTCTGTGCCTTGGGAGAGGAAGCAAGCGTGTGGGCGACATGATGCTGCAGGGTCCAACACCAGCGACCAGCAAGTGTTGTAGGGCTGGCGGTTGACTTGCTTCAACATAAGCAGAGCAGCCCTCGTGAACGTCTGACTTTGGCCACATATCTCTGAATACGGAGCTGTTGCTAAGGCAGCGCAGCCCACAGAGATGAGGAAGAGACGGTTTAGTTGTCCGACTCCGATTCCGTCCGGTGTGAGAGATCTGTACAGCCTCCTGCAGTTTTGTTTCCCAACGCCTTCTCTAGCTGTTTTCACAATCCTTTAGATCAGGACATTGAGGACATGTCTCGCTGACATACTGTTTGCCTGGGGAACCTGGACAAGTTCATGTTGGGTTCGAGTCCAGTTCATGGTGTTTTGCACTGATTGGTGTTGACAGGGGTGCAGGCAGCGGTTTGGGCAGAGCTGAGAAACAGCTGCTGAGGACGCAGCCCGAGAGGAAGGAAGAAAGAAAAGCAAGCAAAGGATTTATGAAAATCTGTACCAAAGTACAGTGGAATTAGCTGCTGACTTTGTCAGAGCAGCCAGGCACTCTTTTGGAGAGGTGGCTGGTCTGGGAAGAGCCGGCATGTGAACTATGGAAAGGGATAACTCTTAGTGTTGTGATGAGGTTTGTTTAATTCTTCCATGGATTGGAATACGGATACTGTTTTGCCATAAAAGGTTGGAAAGAGAAGATAAAAATTATGAAATATCCCTTTGTAAGCGGGCAGGGGAACCTGGGTTTCCAGCCTGACTTTGACACTGGCTTACAGCGTTGTCCTGGGCAGCTCACCAAACCTCTCAGGGCTTCCCTCTCTTCATGTGTAACCGTCACGATGCCCATCTGCCAGGGAAAAGCGTGAGGTGGGCTTTACAGATTTCCAATTATTTGAGATCCTCTTTGGGGAAATGCAGAGTAATTTTCTTGTTTAATGAGTAATGAGTTTAATGAGGAATGCCTGCAGCATCCTTCGCCATTCAGATGTTTGCAATGAAACGCTTCAAGATGAATGAATGGATGAGACCCACAGCCAAGACTTGTGGAGCTGAGCTGTTCCGAGGTGGAGCTGCCGAGAGTTGAGCTCTGTGTGCCCAGCGCTTTGCTGAACTGAGCAAACCCCAAGTGGGGATTTCTGAAGGAAAAGGTCATGTGTCCTGCTGCATCACCCCATGTTTGCATTTGGAGATGTCCCTGTCCTCCATGTGTTGCATCTCCTCTCTCTCATCTGACCTTGATGTCCTTTCCTCCAAACTCAGCTCAGTCCAGCCCGCTACGAGATGTCAGTGTTCCCCAAATGTCAGGCACACAGAGGCGGGGGGGGGGAGGCTCTGAAGCCATCCCTGCCATTTAGGGGAGTGAGTAGGAATGGTTTTTGAAGTACTCTCCCGTTGCTCCAACAGGCTTGGCATTAAACATCAGCACCCTTCAGGAACAGAAACTGCCTGTCCTTGGTTTCTAAACCGCACACTTTGAGAGCAAGCAGCTTAACGTTTTGCCGTTCAAGAGAGCAGTCGGCAATCGCCAGCCCTCAGAGCTCCAGCAGCATCTCTGCCTCATGTTAAGCAAATCTTGCATTTATAAATGTATCAGCGGAGCATCACCGACTGCCTGTCTGTCTCCCGTCAGAGAGACATTATTCCTATTCAGCTCCATCGTGTACAGCCTGCTGTAGGGTACGTAGCGTTTTTGCTGATGGGAGCCTGGCAGGTAGCAGCATCTGACTCTGAATCAGTCAGAGCTTTGGTTCCTGGGCAATTAATTCCTGCCACGGCGGTGATATGAGTGCATCAGCTTGGGCCTTTCCCGCGCTGTTGTCGGATGCGGCTGCCCTTGGGTGGGTTTCGGTGGCTTTTATGGCTGTTTCCCCTTGCTCAGATGTTGGATAATCCTTCTCCTGGTGGGTTCTTCTCTTTCTGACACTGCAAGTGCCCTCTGATGGGTTAGCTGTGTCTTTTTGCTGGAAAAAGTACGTGGCAAGCCCACAGCTGGGATAGGATTGAACTGGTGGACCAAATTAGCCAGTTCTGCTTGTGGCTGTGGGGAAAGCCTCTGCCTGGCTGGCTGGCTGGGTGGGCCACAGAAACAGCTTCAGACCTGTAATTCCTTTGATATATCTGGTACTGGTTGTCTGGGCTTCTGGGCTGGTGAAAAAACCCTGTCCCGTCTGCATCCCGGGGTGGGGACGGGGGCTCGGTGGCTGCTGGCACTGCCTGGCCGTGGGGAGCGCAGGCAGCGGGGACAGCCGGGTCTCGCAGCGGGAAGAGGTGCGCATTCTGCTTGCGCTGGCTCTCTCGTGCGAGCGAGCTGTAAACAACGCACGAGGGGGGATCCCTGCAGGTTCTGACGTGAAAACACCGGTGCCGGTTCCTGGGTGGCAGCGCACACCCGTTCGGGGGGCAGGGTGAGGCCCCGTGACTTAAAACACAGCCCCGCTGCAGCGTATGCCCCCTGTAGAATAAAGAAACCAAGGGAAGCCTGCTGACAGCTTTAAATCTTTCCACCACTTCCATCGTCAAGTTGTCCCACAGGCCAGCTGTCGGACACACCGGTGGGATTTGCGGTGCTCTCCGGGGTGAGCACTTGGCACTAGCAGCAGCACGGGCTTTGCCATTGCGCTCGTTCCTGGCAGGTGTCGATGGCTTTGCCTGGCATCCGATAAAGCTCTCTCTGAGGATCTGGAGAAAGTATTTGGCTCAGGGTTTTGTAAGTCCAGACAGAAGAATTTGGTATTTTGACTATCAGCAAAGGCTTGTTTAGCTAGATGGGGGCTTTCCTGTCGGTTAGTGTCTTTAGCCATTGTCGATACCACTCTTTTCTTCCTGTCTTTTCTGATCATTAGATGTGTGTCTGTGTGCATTTTTTCCTTGCTTTAGGTTTTTATGGCGTGGAAATATTTTGTGTCGCTTCTACCTATCAGTATTGAAGAGCTGGCTGAGGGGATTTTCTGCATCTTCTCATCTGTGGTTTAACTCAATCCTATAACAGGATGGGCAAGTGAAAAGCAGGCTGAATGAGGAATTTCTGTACACCGCTGGTTCGTAGCAGGCAGGCGAAGGAGAGGCTGCCCCCTGAGTCCAGAGCCACTTCGCGTATTAAAAAAAAACAGTTACTTAGCTGAAAATTATTACAAAACATACAATTTTTAACTTTAGTATCCTAGCTCCTGAGAGCCAATAACAAAAATCTAACAGAGGTGACACGAAGAGAGAAAGGGAACACTTTTTCAGTGGGGCTTTTAAATAAATATATCTTAAATAAACAGAAGGCGACCATCAAACTGCTCTGTTAATATTCACATAACTTATATGGGACAGTTCTTGGGGTTTCTTTGTTCTGAAGCATTTAAAATAGGGCATCAATTACACTTGTTGTGAAATAAGTTGCTTGTTGTGGCTGGGGGGGGCTGCATGAGATGCTGGCAGTGATCAGCTGTAATTGCTTTTTTGATCTGAGGAGTTAAGATTTTTAGAGTCTTTTTTTCTCTCTTTCTGGCTCTTTTGAGCTTCAAATGAAGCAGGTGTGTTTTGAATAGCATTCTCCACGAGCAGCAAATCCGCCCATGGGTCTGGTACCCGGGGAGCGAGGAGGCACGGCGTGGC